GATCTAGAACCAGAGTCTGTGTTTCAAATTTGGTCTCTAATACTAGTTGTATGACTGAGTAAATTAAGTTCTCTGTGCTTTAATTTCCTTATCTACAGAATGGAAACAATAACAATTATCTACTCCTAGAGCAGTTACGAGGATTGATTAAAAGAATTAATATAGATAAAGCACTTAAAACAATGTCTGGCTTATGAAAATGTTCTGCAAATGTCAGATTTTATAATTATTATCATTATCTCTGAAGTTCAGCTCTGAGATGAAAGTTATATTATAAAAATGCCTTGTGATTTTTCATCAAATGGAAAACAGTTTAACTTGGTTTCATGGCAAAGACTTTCCCTAAAATAACAAATATTTCATCTCTAAATGTTTTCAAATCAATTGAACAAACAGACTTGTCTTTAAACAATTATATTTTGTTTTGATGAGATAAAGGAACAGTTTATTTTCTCAATTTTAGGTTGAACATTTCTCTAAAAAAATGAGCTTTATTGAGATGCAATTTGCTTAGAATAAAATGTGCAGTTTAATGAGGTTTGACAATGTATACACCTGTGTAATCTCTACCACAAAAAGACTGACTATTTCTACCATCCCCCAAATCTTATGCTCCTTAATAGTCAAGACTGCTCCACCTCCAGGCGAGGCAACCAATGATCTACTCTAGACAATGTTTCTCAAAGTGTGACCTAGGAGACAGGAGTAGTCAAAGCTATTTTAATAAAAAACTAATATGTTATTTGTCCCTTTTATTCTTATTCCTTAATGAGTTTACAGTGGAGTTTTCCTGAGGCTGACTATATGATGCATGATATTGTAAGAGACTGAATGCAGCAGATATGAGAATTTAATATATTCTATTAAGCCAGACCAGCAGTTCTCAACCTGTGGGTCACGACCCCTTTGGGGGTCGAACGACCTTTTCACCGGGGTCGCCTAAGACCATCGGAAAACACATATATAATTACATACTGTTTTTGTGATTAATCACTATGCTTTACTTATGTTCAATTTGTAACAATGAAAATACATCCTGCATATCAGACATTTACATTACGATTCATAATAGTAGCAAAATTACAGTTATGAAGTAGCAACGAAAATAATTTTATGGTTGGGGTCACCACAACATGAGGAACTGTATTAAAGGGTCATGGCATTAGGAAGGTTGAGAATCATTGAGCTAGACATTAACAAAATTTGCGAAGATGAAAACAAGGACACACTTCTTATTAAAACAGCTTTGTTTATGAAAAACTAAAATAAACAGATGCTATTTATGTTAACATGTAATGGCTTCTTATTTTAAACTGAATTAATACATATTTTAAAGTTTTCTCAGTTTTGATTTCTAATATGGTTAATATCAAGATATAGCCCACAAAATAAAAGCTTTTTGGAGTCTTAATATTTAAGTGTATAAAGAAGTCTGGGACTAAAATGTTTAACTAGATAACAGTTCCTCCTAACTTTAAATGATTCCATAGTATCTGAAAGTTAGGTATAGAATTTTAAATTAACTATTCATTTATAACTATAAAATAGTAGTCTTCCCAGTTGGTGTGGCTCAGTGGTTGAGCATCGA